GTTTATATAGCGCTGTATGGTGATTTAAAATTCAGTAGAGGGAAGCATAGTGCTATCTAGGGGTACATATTGTTGTGAAGCGTTGTCTAGTTACTGCATTTTACAGATTTACAGTGCTACTCAGGGGTATAATGTTGTATTGTGCTGTATGATGATAAAACTTGCAGTACAGGGATGTATAGGGACGGGGAAGAGGGGCATATAGGAGTGCGTATTCGAGTAGACAAGGAGTTTAATAATCGATGGAACGTGTTTGCTCATGATGAATCTCTCAAGTTGTCATCGGCTATCTCTCTAAGCACTATTGTAACTTATCCTTTGTCAATTATTGTTTTGTCAAAACTCTTCTTCAGGGTCTTCTCTGCGTCTACATCCGAGATGGCGGCTACCGACTCGATAGAGTCCGGCTGTGGATTGGCCTGCTGCCATCTTGGATTCGCATTGTAGGTGGACCCTGGGCGAGAGTTTGACCCATTCCCAATCAGATGATAGAAGAGGCCTTAATTTGGACATTGAGGGACTCGTTTCCAACAAAATGCACCGATTATGTCGCCGAGACTTGGAGGGAGCTCTTCCGCTTTATAACTGCCATTATGATGAGAGGACTGGGGAGAGCACTCTGTGGACTAGGAATCAATCGAAAGGAAAACTGAGATTTCACTAAAGATGACTTTAAGAGGACACCATCCCAAAGTGGACATAATACGCATGATCACAACTACTATGGGGGAGTAACGAGGTATATGAGTTGTAAGAAGCCTGACGTTGCGCGAAGATTGAGACGAGTGAAAACTGAAACAGACAAGGAGATATTCGCGTCCTATGAAGCGCGCAGAAGAACAGAGTTGAGGGCGATAAAAGAGGTGCGCGTAAAGATGGGAAAAAAGGAAAATTGCGATGGAAAAAAAAAAAAAAAAGGAAGGAACCAGAGGAAGGAGAAAAAAAGGGATGTGCAAATGTGAAAAGGTGTAAAAACTTGTGTGAGGAAAAAGATAACAAAAGGCGCAGATATGTAACAGTATGAACACGTCCGTCGGCGTTCAAAACCGTGTGGCAATACGGAAAACGATAGACAGTGAAAGAGATACAATCGAAGAGATGACGCGCTTTTGCTGATTGGGCGGGGGCTTGAAACATGGAATGTTAGTACACTTTTAGCTGCACACATTATCAACTTGGTGCGCGGGTCAAAACAAGTATTGAAGTCCCCATAGGATCTGCTTTCTCTACATGTTACGTGCATCCTAAGAATATGGAGACAGACAATGTACATCAACGCAGTTTTTGTATTTTATACACTGTATATATCTCTTACACAAAGAAGTAAAAAAAAGCACAATAATACTGCATTAAAACGTTCAAGGCATTAAGTAAAATACGAGCTAAACGGAGACGCTAAAATGAACCCATTTACTCCCAAGACTGATCATAATTTAAATTCTCCTCACGGTATTAATACACCGACAAACATGGAGTCAATAACAATTCGAGAAAATCCATACTGGAGGATAATCTTTTCCTAGAAACATAATGTTACATCGAATTCTCGGAACAAGCGGCAGCAAAGAGAAACACATTCTTATCAGTTGGGAGAATTTTTTCTTCAGAACTTGGGAGTTCATGAGTTAATTAATATAAACTAAGGTAAATTAACAATTATCTTCAACTTAAAATAGCATCAAAACACTTCACACGAAATACACTGACATTATTCAAACCATGTTCAGTTGAAACTGTCCCAGCATGTCTTTAAAATCCTAGTTACATTATATTCAACCACGCATATTATCAGACATCCTCAAATCATGCTGAGGTAAATTTAAAGCGATGAAAAAATTTCAAGAGGTGATTTTCAACAATAAGAAGTTTTATCCTGAAGCCCTGAACGTTTTCAGTTACGTATTGCTAGGTTTACATTACTCAATGAGCCTTTCACCAAAAATAATCTCTAAATGAGGACTACATGGCTTACGTTAACTGCTTCTATTTATGAGCGTAAATATTGTCAAAATTGGAAACAATAAATTCCATATCACATACAATAAAAAGTCCATCTATGGAAAATTTTTAATTATAGTGAACTCTACGTCCCTCTTTCCTAGTTTAGAGATTTTCAAGGGGACAACTTTTTAGCCTTCTCTGTCGTCGTTCTTAAAACGAACGGAAAAAAGTGTTTGGTAAAACGGACAAAAATTGACCGTTTGATTGAAAACAGGGTTGTAGCCAGCTTTTTGACTAAATGTAAGCCTCTTCCATCACAAATTTCAGTTTTTGTTTCAACATTTGCAAGAGTCATATTATCTTTAAGTTAAAGTCAAGCAAGCAGAAAACAATTGTAGGCCGGGCCTACGGGACTAGAGGCTGGCTACACCCCCTAAAAAGTAGGTGTAATGTCTCTACATATGGTTAGTAAATTTAATAACATCATCTCTGATGTTTACTTCTTCAAATTAAGTTTAGAATGGCAATCTTGGCACTGACAGAACTAGATTGCATTAAAATGGATTGAGTTGAAAATGGTCATCAAATTTTTTTGTAAAGATGAAGGTAAATTGTAACAAAGTAATTTATGATGTTGAAAACGGTCTGAGATCAATTCACATATTCAATTGACATACATATTCAATTAAAGTTTTGGAAATAAAAATTCGCCAACTTTTGCAAATGACGAATTGTTTCTTTGCTTATCAAAAAAGCTTAGAGCATAAAGGTAATTAAAATCCGGTTGAAAAGCCCTGGTTGGGTAAAAATAACCTTTAAATTATTTTCCATACAACTGATTGTAATACAGGAACAGAGCCGAGTGACATGTTGGTGGAAATGGAAACCTCGTTCATAACAGAGGCCTTGTTGCATTTTTTTCTTCGCAAGCATTTAAATTTGTTAAGGTAACAAAAAAAAACAATTCCACTGATCAAAATATAATGAAATAGACTGGTTTATTTCTTCACCATAGTAAAGTTGCACATCTCAAGTTCCATTAAACAAAAAATAAAAAGTAAAAAAATAGCCAAAAATTGTTTAACATAGAGAAACATTTAAACCTTTCTTTTGAGATGAAAAAAAATTTTCTCATTTATTTGATTTTCTATTCAAATTTTCTCTTTCCTTTGCCATCAGGTCAAACGTGAGGTCATCTCCAATCAGCATAAAGGGCGCCCAGTATTTGATTTCGTGGAACTCATTTGATTCTCTGAGGCTTTTCATGGCCAGGTTCAGTGACTTGCTTGTTGGTTTACCTTCTGCAAGGTGTTGATAAAAGCATTTCATGAACTGGAGAGTAGCCTCGTCATCAATCGCCCACAGGGACACCACAACAGACCGAGCACCAGCCCCCATAAAAGCGCGCGCAATGCCAACCACACCTTCAGCCTTGATCTCGCCCCGACCACTGTGGCAGCAACTGAGCACAACAAGTTTGGCGCGAAGTTGAACATTCAACACATCTCGAATCGTTAAAATGTAATCCTCCTTCTCCGTAGGCACCGTAGATATTCGGTCTAGGTCAGGTGTAAAAGCAATTTCGCCAGTTTCCGGACATCCGTGTGCCGCAAAGTGAACTAAAGAAACGGAACTGAGTCTTTCAACACCTCACGTTTGGTGGCCTGTCTGCCAGTGATTGGCGTGATATTCAGAATTTTTCCGATCATTTCTACTTCTTTTTTAGCATACTCAAGCTGCTCCAAGACTTTCTTTCCCTCGCTGTTAGGTAACCTCGGATACCCACGGATCTCCTACAAGTAACGCACCACTGCTTTTGTGATAATCATCTGGGCAATCGGCAATGAGTCTAAGACTTGCTAACGATGGAGCGACTCGGATTTTGAACGATTCACACAGGTATTTAAATTACCATCCTTCAATGCAGCGTAAGGAGCGATCCACAGGGGTCCATCAGGAATAATGAGTAGCTCATCCCTTCAATCAATTCAGCCACCGGCTTCATAACGATATCATACAAAGTGCTCAAGCATCCGTCTTGTTGGATGTGAGGTTGAGGGTTAGCTTCTTTGGTTTTCTCATCCACTTTTTGAACGGCCCTCCCTCAAAGCATCTAAAGATCGATTCTCGCATCTCACATTAGAACGAACACCAAGTTGTGTATAGACACCGACCATGAACGACTCAAAGGACTGGCTAGATCCACTATTCTCTGAAACAAAACCTTTGAGTTTACTTTGTCTTAACCGAACTTGTTTTCCTTCGAAACAACCCAAAGATTGACGTTAGCTTCTTCCACCTGCCTGAAAGACAGTGTTTGATGGAACGTTTTTTAAAACTGTGAAATCTTCATCTTCTCCCTTCTGGTGACTAGTTCCACCACAAAAAACTGGATTCCATGAGGTCGGTCAGAGCTTGAGCTCGCCCTTTCTCAGCAACAAATAAGGCTTCATCTACATTACCTTGTTCTACGAGAACTCTCCACAAACCCGTATACGCCATTTGATGCTGATTTCGAAAATTAACTTTCCACTCATCTTTAGATTTTAGAAGTACTCTCAAGGAATCGAATACGTTTATGCTAGCTTGATAATGTTCAACGGCTTTTGGCAGTCCACCTTGCAACTCAAAAACGCATCCTAGTGAAGAGTAGGCCATTGCCTCAAGGTATTTTCTCTATTTCTTTAGCTATTTTAAGAGCTAGGTTGTGGTACTCTATGGCTTTTTGAAATCACCCAGACTCTTATAAGCATTGCCAAGGTTGCCATAAGCGTTACCCTCCCCATGCTTGTCTCCCTACTTCTTTAGCTATTTTAAGATTTAGGTTGTGGTACTCTATGGCTTTTTTTGAAATCACCCAGACGGTGATAAGCATTGCCAAGGTTGCCATAAGCGTTACCCTCCCATGCTTGTCTCCTACTTCTTTAGCTATTTTAAGATTTAGGTTGTGGTACTCTATGGCTTTTTGAAATCACCCAGACTAATATAAACATTGCCAAGATTGCCATAAGCCTTACCCTCCCATGCTTGTCTCCTACTTCTTTAGCTATTTTAAGACATAGGTTGTGGTACTCCATGGCTTTTTTGAAATCACCCAGACTAATATAAGCATTGCCAAGATTGCCATAAGCACCACCCTCCCCATGCTTGTCTCCTACTTCTTTAGCTATTTTAAGATGTAGGTTGTGGTACTCTATGGCTTTTTTGAAATCACCCAGACTGTCATAAGCATTGCCAAGATTGCCATAAGCGTTACCCTCCCCATGCTTGCCCCCTATATCTTTAGCTATTTTAAGATGTAGGTTGTGGTACTCTATGGCTTTTTGAAATCACCCAGACTGTCATAAGCATTGCCAAGATTACCATAAGCTTCACCCTCCCCATGCTTGTCTCCTATATCTTTAGCTATTTTAAGATGTAGGTTGTGGTACTCTATGGCTTTTTTGAAATCACCCAGACGGTGATAAGCATTGCCAAGACTGCCATAAGCGTTACCCTCCCCATGCTTGTCTCCTACTTCTTTAGCTTTTTTAAGATATAGGTTGAGGTACTCTATGGCTTCTTCTCCCCGATTATAGAGGTCTCTGACTTTCTTGACATCACCTGAACTTGCACTACCATGGTCATGACTAATAGGATCTTTTTCCTCCATGGAATTATCTCCCACTTCACTGACAGACTGAAGTCTTAATGACAACAAGATCCTATGGTTTTTGTCAATCTTTTTTATGTTAAGGGTAAAAAATGTGGAAAAAAAAAAAAAGATTATGTTTCTGATCATATTGATATGTAATAGTCCATTTTAACATTTACGTGCTTGGTTCCCAAGCCTCTGAACAAGAGGGATGATAAAGGGTGACCTTGTTATGATAAAAACATTGTTGCTTTTTAAATACAAACTACTTTGTTATTATCGTTTCTAGACAAATTTGGTCTGGAATTTAAAGGGTGATTTAAACTAATGTAACAGTTATTGGCATGGATAGTAGAACTAAGTCAAATTGGCTAAAAGGAGTAATTTCATTAATAAGTCATGAGGTTATAACGTCTCCTATATTATTAATCACACAAACTTAAAGTATATGAGCTGACAAGTTCCCATCATAATTAATACCCTTCTTTGTATTTTCTCCCTTGAAACATCAAATTATGGAAACTTTTTTTTTATACCCACGGTTAAAAATGAACGATTCTTTCAAAGGATACAGCTAGTCCCTTATCACACCAAGTGATTGCTTCTTCAAATCTCTTCAATTCAACACAAGCTGCGGCTCCTGTAGGCAACAACACAAAGAAGCATACTATTACTGTAGCTCAATTCTGAGATAAGAACCTGAAACCATCAAAATCATTACAGACCAGAAGAAAAAAAAAAAGACAAAACAAAACAAAACAAAGAAACTAAACGGAAAAGAATAAACAGGCCCTATTGGGTTTCAGTTAGATTTATTTAGCTTTATAGACAACTGAAACTTCTAAGAACATTTAAATTGGGATCAACAACTCCCACAAAAACACTAAGAGTTAGGTAAGTCCTGATCCTTTTTCTAAAACAGCTAGATAGTGACTTAAGAGCGTGTCCACGAGAGCACCGGGCGGTCGTGCTACACGCCATCTCACCGATTTCAACGAAACTTTGTCAGTTTAAAGGCTCTACCCCAAAACTAAAAAAAAAAAAAAAAGACTGGTTTCTGTTTTGGTTTTTCCGTGGGAGATAGACCACCCCTGGTTTTTCTTGGGTTTCACTACTGAAATCGCTTCAGATAGGTAAAATATATGAAGCTCTCACTGCGATGGTATTTAACTGATTACTTTGAGGATTTGCACACATATTTTTTACATCCTTAGCTAATGGCCGCCGCGAACATCAGTCAGTTTGATTGACGGCTTGTCAATCAACAGAGGCAAATATACGACTGTGTTTTTAGACTTTTCGATTCATTCAAATATTTGACAACTTTGAGGTCAAATATCTCCCGTTATAGAAAGCTACAACACTAATCTTAATTACCCTTTATAACCCATCATTTCATCTCTGAAAATCATCAAAAAATCTTTGGGCACTATCGTATTTTTTTGTCTTGGATGCCTTTTAAAATTTGCGATTGTGACAAGTTTCTCTCAACTACACCTGTCACGCACTTCTTGCTCTAGGCGGTCACTTGACAAAATAAACCTACATTTTTAGCTCGTTATACAAGATGATTGATCAAGAAAGGTGAAAAATGTGAAAAACTTTCGAGATTTTTTTGTAGGAATGGAAAATTTCACGTTTAGAGAGGCATGTTGACGAAAAATCAATGGGAAAATCGTAACGTTTCTTTCTTCAGTCGTTTATTACTTTCAAGATTTGCTAAAATCAGGACATAGGGCTCTTGTACAGAACAAAACATTCATTAGCCTATACTTTGATCGTCTATTATCATTATCGCACAGTTTACAATAAGGAAACTGTAACAGGTGAGGAGATTTTAAAGTCACATGTCGCCTGCTTGTTGACGTACAAGTTCCCGAGTGTAACAACTTCGGCTTTTCCATACCGCGCATGACGGGAAACTCTGCCCCCCTTATTTGATAGAAATAACAATAGCCCCATAATTTCATCAACTACGCCATGTTTCCAGAAAATAAGACTGAAAAATGTTTTTTCCACTTTCCACCATCAAGAAATTCCACGTATAGAAATAGTATTTGTGGGGTTACTGCGTGACTTTTCATGAGAAGTAAAAATTGTTCATCTTTTTTTTTCAAGAAGATACTTTTAGAAAGTTCTTAATCCTTCTGTTATCTTATTTTCCTGTTCTTTGACTGCAAATATCATTTGCATTTGCTATTATTTTCGCTGATTGTCATGGCCTTTCCTGCGTGCATGTGCGAGCTAGTTCATATACAGGACTCTTTCGAGTTTCTCTGGGTGGTGTCGGGCTTAGGTGTGTAGGTCTGGCTCGAAAGATATCTGCACGCTGCAACACGGGTTCCTATGTTTTCTCCTTTTTCTTCATTTGGATTTTCATTTTCTTGCTTGCATTATCACACATTTATGTTTTTTTATTCCCTCAGTGCGTTTCCTCAGATTTGGAAGTAGGCCGTGAAAAGTCAATATTGACCAGAACTGAAATCCTTTTCTATCACTATTTGTTTCGAGAACCCCGTCATTTGTGACTTTATTTCTCAAGAAAATGTGTTTTTATTTGCTATTTATTTCCATTAGAACATGAAACTATGTCCTCATAAGTTTTTTTTGTCTCGTGACTCCCAAAAACTAGGTTTGCGACAACATCAATTAAGAAATCAAAGGCAATTACGCCTGAGAAATTCGCTTGTAGCCTTCTACCCGCAGAAGGCAACTCCATATAATGAAACATTCTAAGACCTCTATAAACCAGAGACATTGCGTGATGTTGAGGGGTGAAATATTTACCCTAAATCTGTGATCCTCAAACGGATCACGTACTCGTACATGTAACGTCCGGAAAATGTCACGCATGTATAACACCGTAGGCGCACCTGTCCAATTCTATCCATTGGCTTCAATAGCAAAGAGACAACTTATTTACTATTTGTATATGAGCAAGCTTATTTACCCTACTTGAAAAATCCTTGATGAAGTCTACTATTATCAGACGAAACGCGTGGGGAGATAAATACAAGTTTTACTTTCTCAGTTCGTGCAGTGATGCTCACTAGTTTGTTCCGTCAAAAATGCTTTTAATGTGAAGTCACGTCAACCTCGACAGAAAAACTAAGCTCACCCTGTCATAATCAATGGTTTGACACCGTAAGTACCAATTTAGGTACATCATTGGACTTTGATCACAATGATGAAAAAATGTGCGTTTCCTCACGCTCGCCACGTTTATTCTTTGGAAAAATTTTTTACTGGAGGGCGATGTCGCTTAGCTTGGCGCGTCTTGACTCAGGCCGACGAAAATTATCGAGGTGAACTCCATGAAATTTTAGTCAAATGTTTTAAAAACTTTGTCTACCCTTGATTTGCACGTAGAAAAAAAAGGCAAATCCCGAACGGTATTTCAAAACACTTTATTCATTAGTCAATTTATGAAATGTTTCATAGCAGCCTGAGGAAAAGAAAATTGAAACAACCGGCGTATCGGTCGAATTAATTCCAATTTTTTCAACAAGGAGTTGGTAAGTTCATTTTTCCAAGTAAATTTAAGTGGGGGTCATTTTTTTGTGACAGCCGATCAAAGATAGACATCTCTGAAACGTCTCTGAAACTCTTTTTAAAAAGAGTTTACACTTCCGGTAATATTTTCCTCCTTCTCGCAACAGCGCAACAGACATTGTTAATCCTATGTAGTGTAGGAATATCAGTTGTATTACGTCTTCATAGTGATGCCATATATATAAGAAATCGAGTGTCTAAAAGCCCTCAATTCAACCTAACACTAGAATTGATAAAGTCAAGATGGTGCAGTTGTCTTGTTCATTTGCAACTAACTGTAGAACCAAATGTTATTTTTCTCGCGCTGGCCAGCGACGGCAACAGCTCATACCTCTAAATTCGTGGGTATACAGCTTTAAAAAAACATTTGAGAGACGTCGATGTATCCCAAACATGCGTTTCGTCCGAGATGAAGCTTATTCTAGCGCTTATTGGCTTATTTGGAGATTACGATTTCACAATGTACCTCAAATATCGTGCACAACTAGGTGTGAGATTCAGACCTTCGGGTTCGTAAATGCCAGTATCCTCCTCATAAAAATCGGAGACAGAAAGTGAGAGAGAGATGAATCTACTGATGGCAGAAGAAGTCAAAGCTGGTAGCGAGTCTTCCTGGTAGCGGCAAGGTGACTGTAAACCTAAATAGAACGCTTACTGTAGCTGCTATCTTAGAGTTGGCAATGAATAAGGAAGAAGGGCAAGAAGAGCGCTTATCTGAACATCAGTTTTCCTAACTGGTGATTTGTGACTGAGATGAACTTTAACATAACATAACATAACATACTTTATTGACTTTCCCCAAGGGGGCTTTTCAAAGACAATGTTATAAAAATAATCCTATTACAATTAAAAAAATCCTATTTACAATTTAAGATGTTTTAAAATCTGAATGTTCTAAAAGAAAAATAAAAGCATACAAATATATAAAATTACAACTCTTTGAGTAATTTGGTCCTTAAACGTTTTTTAAAAACCTTAACGGAGTTGCACAGTTTAAAGGAATTATCCAAAGAGTTCCATAAGTTTACAGTTCTATAGAAAAATGTTCTCTGACCGCTAGCTGTTCTAAAAAATGGAATTTGCAAAAGCTGCGAATTTCTGGTGCTACGTCGACTAACCTCGGCTCGCTTTATGAATTTTGATGAGAGGTAATCTGGAGCCTGACCAGTCATGCATCTGAAGGCCATAGTAGCGTTCCGGTAGTAAAGCTGGCTTTGAACTGAAAGCCAATTTAGTTCCTTGCGAATTGGTGTAACGTGGTCAAATTTACGCGCACCGCTAACAATGCGGCATGCGAAGTTCTGCACCGCCTGTAACTTGTCAACATTACATTTTGAGGTATTTGACCAAACATTGGAACAATAAAATAACCTGCTGAAAACTAAGGAATTAATAATCATCAAAAGTGTACGTTTGTCGAAAACATGCTTGACACGGTTTATTTGGCCGAGGCGGGACATGCACGAGGAAGCGGTCTTAATTATGTGTTCATCGTAAGTTAAATTAGAATCCAAAATCACACCAAGGTCTTTGGCGGTGTCTGC